CCACTTCGTCAATAAATACAAAAAACGGCTAATGATAGTGTTAAAGGACGGGTGCTCGTCAAACCATAGCTTACTTGCACGGGTCCCCACGGATGGCGCCAAAATGATAGTGTTAATTCCCACGTAAGCGGAATATAAAATGAGACAAGACCAATTAAAGCAAATAAACTCTTTACTAATCAAGTGAAAGACCTAAATACAATCTAGAGTGGCTATTTCGAGGGCCGACTGACTGCGGTCGGGATGCTTTGAGAATTGCCTATCGATCGTCCAAAAGTCCCTCACATTGTTGCCACCGCGGGTATTTATAGCCGCTGGGCCAGAGACACAATTCCGGCCGTTCGGCATGTCACCCACGTAGCAACCACGTGCCCTCCTCCCTGAAGCCTTGCCTGTCAACGCGTAACGCTTCCACGCGTCTCTTCTTGACTCTCTCGCCTAAGGGCTATCCATCGGGTTTCACGGACCTCGGTCGGGCAACGCCCGGTTGGGAACCGACCGGGTTCTTCTAAGGAAGTCCGACCTGCGACCTGCATAAACAAGGATAAAAGGACAAAGGCATGTCGGTCGGGGTATTCCCTACCAGGCTTAGTTAATTTCCATTAAAGTGTAATGATGTTATTGGGTGAATATGGAACGCTATCGTCCCGAGTTTATTCAATAACAGATGTTGGTTTGAATACTTGGTTTGAATCAATTAATTCAAGAAGATCAAATGCTAGTTATGACTATCCTAATTAGTCTTTGGCTAAGTATTTGAATCTGAACTTTACTTGTAAGAGCCAATGATCTAAGTCACATCTTTAACGTTCATTCTTCCTTGAATCAGAATTCAACATCTCTGAACTCGTTATTAATTATTGTCTATTTTATTTATTCTTCTCAAATCCCCCAATTTTCCCTACTTTGAGTCATTTTATTTTAATTAAATAAACGAAACTCATTAGTTCTCTTGGGATTCGACCTGGTCTTGCAACTACTACAAATTAGTGGAGTGAGCAAGTATTAAATTTGTAGGGTTTCGACAACCCTGCCAGGGAGCCGGGAGGTGAGTTGGTCACGGACGAGAGTGGTATTGGGAGGCTAGTCGTGGACTATTTTACGCAATTGTTTACGAGTTGTGAGGGAGGAATAAGGCAGGTTGTGGACTGTGTACAAGCAAAAATTTCCACCGAGCAAAATAAAATCTTAGAGAGGCTGGTTATGCCTGAGGAGGTTCTGGAAGCTGTGTTCTCTATGCATCCGGAAAAATCACCGGGCCCCGATGGTTTGTCCCCGGCCTTTTTCCAGCTGCATTGGGATATCCTGGGAGATGAGGTATATCTTTTCTGCCAAAATTTCCTTGACTCGAGTCAGTTACCTGCTTTAATAAATGAAACCCACATTGTCTTGATTCCAAAAACAAAACACCCTGAGTTGATGTCTGATTTTTGCCCCATATCTCTTTGTAACGTGCTTTATCGTATCCTAGCAAAAGTCTTGGCTAATAGGTTTCGGGGGGTGCTTGATTCTATTATATCACATGCTCAAAGTGCTTTCATTTCGGGTGGTTCAATTATTGACAATGTTCTAATTGCGTTTGAGTCTACTCATGCCTTAACTCGAAACAAGGGTAGTAGAGGTGGCTATTGTGCTTTAAAGGTTGACATGAGTAAGGCTTTTGATCGAGTCGAATGGGGTTTCCTAGGACAAGTTTTAAAAAAACTGGGCTTTGGTGACCGTTGGATTGGCTGGATGAAGGAGTGTGTTTCTACTGTCCGCTATAACGTTTTGAATGATGGGAGGGAATGGGGTCAATTTTTCCTGAGCGAGGGCTAAGGCAAGGGGATCCTTTATCCCCGTGTCTCTTTATTATAGTGGCTGAGAGTTTCAGTGCCATGTTGAGAGATTTGGAGGTGGAAGGGGTGTTTCATGGGATCTGTGTAGCGCGACACGCGCCGTCTATCTCTCATCTTTTTTTCGCGGATGAATGTTTGTTCTTCTTTCGGGCAAACAGTTTTGAAGCGAGGTTCTTAAGAGATACTTTAGAGGAGAACGGGGGTGCAAGTGGTCAACATGTTAATTTTACAAAGACATCAATTATTTTTGGAAATAACGTGCACAGGGAGGATAAGGAGGCTGTCTGTGAGACCCTGGGAATCCATGAACAGCAGGGCCGAGGGAGATATTTGGGGTTGTCGGGGTTTGTAGGGAGACGGAAGAAGGAGATTTTAGGGTTCATTAAGGAGAAAGTTCGGGCTAGAATCACGCATTGGGGGAACCATTTTTTGTCCCGGGCTGGGCGCGAAGTCCTTCTTAAAACTGTCCTTCAAAGCATCCCAAACTATGCGATGAATGTTTTCTTATTACCTAAGGGGATTAGTGAGGACATTGAGCGGCTAATGAACTCCTTTTGGTGGAGTTGTGAAGGGAAAGGGGGTAAGGGGATTCGGTGGAGTACTTGGGGTTCCCTATGCAAACCAAAGAAGTATAGGGGAATGGGATTTAGAAGAGTGAGGGAGATGAATCTAGCTATGTTGGGTAAGCAAGGATGGAAGTTTTTAACTAACCCGGAGGCGCTAGTCACACGGGTGTTTAAGGCTCGCTACTTTCCAAAGTGTTCCTTCTTAGAAGCAGGTGTGGGCTCTAATCCGTCCTTTGTATGGTCTAGTATTAGGGAATCCCAGGGGTTGTTGAAAGAGGGTGCACGATGGAGGATAGGAGATGGTGGTACGGTAAGAGTATGGGGTGACCCTTGGCTTCCAGATTCTGATAACCCTTATGTTGTGACTGAGGAATAGCATTACTTACATGCCCCTTTGGTTCGGTCCCTCTTCTGTGTAGACAGAAACCAATGGGACAGTGATCTGCTGCGTGATATTTTTGAACCAAGAGACGTTAACCTGATTCAAAATCTGCCATTACCTAATGAACCTATGCCTGACGTGCTGTATTGGGGAGGGGAAGACAATGGGCTATACTTGGTTAAAAGTGCTTATAAGTTGGTCTTTGGTAACTTGGAACAGCATTACAAGTTGGCATGGACTGCTGTTTGGAACCTACATCTACCCCTGAAGATAAAATGTTTTTTTGGGCCATGTGTGCTTTGAAGTTGCCGACTAAGGATGCATTGCTCGTTAAACAGGTAGCTTGCGATTTGATGTGCCCGTTATGTGGAGATGAACCTGAAACATTGATCCACCTGTTCGCAGATTTTAGCTTTGCCCATTCGTGTTGGCAGGAGATTCAAACGGGGTGGCCTATGGAATCAGCAAGTTCAATCGGGTTGTGGGTTGATGAAGTGTGGTCAGAATTACCTTCTAATATGGTGGAAAAGGTGGTGACTATTTGCTGGGCAATTTGGGAGAACCGCAACTCAATGATTTGGAACAATCAATGCATGGATTCTAGAACGATGGTACGTGTAGCTTTGGCCTATGTACATGATTGGAAAACTGCTCAACCCCATCATCCTGCCGTGATGAATGCGCTGCATACTCCATCCCCGGTAACGTCTTGGAGGCCTCCCCCACTAGGTTACTATAAACTTAACATCGATGTGGCTATGGATTTTGATGCACATAGAATGGACTTCGGCTGGTTGCTCCGTGACGCTGCAGGCGTGGTGATGGGAGCAGCTATCTCTATGATCAAGGGAACCTACTCTGTCAAGGAGGCGGAGGCCATTGGTGCCTGTGAAGCTTTGAGTTGGATTAAAAAGAACGGGTGGTCTCGGGTAGTGTTTGAAACTGATGCACAAGTGGTGAAAATGGCTGTGTTCACAGGTGAGCATTGCACACCTTTTGGAGCTATTATAAATGACATTCGTATGCAGCTGAAACAACTTCCATTAGTTAATTTTGTTTTTGCAAAACGTGAGGCAAATGTTCCGTCTCACAATTTAGCAAAGTATGCTTTAAGTAATTCTGGGGAGGGAGTTCTGGAATTTTTTTGACTATATTCCCCTATTCATTTCCTCCTCTGTATTGGATGACTATTTTGGTTTATATTAAATATATCGTTGCTTTGGTTTTTCAAAAAAAAAACAATGGTTTCAGGACTGTAATGTTGTTGTTGTGATGGGGCAGTGCAATGAATTGAAGACAGATTCAAGGCAGATTCCTAGAACTATAGGACTTAGAATGTATCTAGATGTATATAGATAGCATATAATCTTTGACAGATTTTATTTATCTCACTAAAAAAAATTCTCACTCATAAGTCAACTAATGTGAGTTAGAATGTATCTAGATGTATGTATCTCACATTCTATCTAATTAACTGATAAATATGAAACATATATAACTCAAAAGCTAAAGACAACTGTATCAAAAACTTAACAATCTTCAAAAACAAAATAGGAATCAACTTGGGTAAAAAAAATTTAGAAAATTGGAATCAACTTGATTTCAAAAATCTGAATCCACTTGATTGCAAAAAGTAGAAGATTTGAAGAATAATAAATCAAAGTAGGCATCACAAACTTAAACATCTTAAGAATCCATAGTAGGCATCAATTTAGGTACTTACTACTTTTAAAAAAATGTTACAGTTTATAGTTAGATTAAACTTTAAGCCAAAATATTAGGTTACAGCCACTATCGAATAAATCAAAGTAGAAGATTTGAAGCTTAATAAATCAAAGTAGGCATCAGAAACTTATGAAACTTAAGAATCAACAGTAGGCATCAACTTTTGTAAAATATACTTTAAAAAAACAGTTTCAAGTTAGATTAAATGTTAAGTGAATATATTTTGTTACATTCATTATCAGTTCAAAAAGAATTTCACTTTTTGAATTAATGTGTTGGATTCTAATCCTTTATACTTCAAAAATTAATTTTTAATCATCAAAGTTTAGAAATAGGGCTACAGATTAGATCATAATCTGAACCTGCTTTGAACTTTATAATCAAAGCAGGCATCACAAAATCAACCCATAACTTCAAAATTAATGGGCTATGTAGCAACTAATAGATGTACTAATAGTTAATAAAAATTGAGAAAATTGGGCATCAGAATTATGTTTAATCATTTGCCATATTTTGGGAACAAGAGATAAAACTGTTGAGTTACACTGACACAATGATGAAGAAACTAACCAAGTCCACCATTACAAACATTTTTTTTTTTTTAATTACAAGCATATTAATCCTACTACAATTCAAAATGTTTTGACACCAAGTGGAACTCATACTATTCTGATCAAACAAATACAAACACTCTAAAAAATCAAATACTGTTGCACATCAAGTTCAAAATCAAGCTGGAATACTATGAAGAAACTAACCAAGTCCACCATTATAGGCAACAAAAGAAAGCAAAATGCAGTAAATAAAAGTTAGTTGGAAACTAATATCTGTGTAACGTTTGTAGCTTGCTTATGTATCATTCTCTTATCTGCTTTCACAAACGATTCACCCAGCTCCTCCTCGCACAAAACAAAAAAAAAAAATTGTATTAGCGATTGCAAATAGGAAAAATTCTGCAGGTAAATACAATTAACCCTAAGTCAGAAATAGAGAATATGTGGTTTTTAGCAGAAAGCAAAATTTTGAATCTAATCTAATAAATCTGTATAATAGCTATACGGTTATGGTTTTTAAACCATTCAAAGAACAGCTGAAAAGCCATATAAATAAAATTGCCCAAAATTGGAACATAGATTTCAAACAAAATTTTACAAAAAAAAAAAAAACACTAATTAAAACAAAGAATTGGGGCCTAAATTGACGAAATAAGATCGAATAATTAAAGGATCTAAAATGTTGAACACATTACAATAAGAATCAACACTGTTATCATAATGTATTTACCTTTATCAAATTTGTCTTAGATTTTGAGATTTTTGGAGAGGAGCTTTTCGACTTCATGATTGCTCTGCATGTACACCGTCAAATCTTTGGAGTGGCTTTCAACTCTTATTTTCCCACCTTCACTCTCAGGTGTACATAGACCTGTAGATAAAGAGTTAGGGTTTTTATTTAATTAAAGTTAGGGTATTTATTTAATTAAGTAAATTAAGTAAAGAGTAATTGAAACTTACCAGGTGATGTAGACAGCCTATGTATAGCCATGGATGTTGAGTTTTCTCTTTCGATTCAACATAGGTCGAAGACGGTACGAATGGCTGCAATAATTGGTTTACGATGATTATTGTAGCTAATTAGGTGCGGATTGGAGTTAAATTTGGTGTTAGAAATTACAGAGTGAAGTGGGCGTTTGGTTTTTGATGGCTTCGTCTCCATTTCTGTGTACGGAGTAGTCGTCTATGGCTTTGCGAGGAAGACGACCACGAAGGGCAGAAATGGGGAAGAAGACTGGGTTGAACCAGTGGATTATGGAGTGAGGTGCTCTTTTGGTTTTCTATGGCTTCGTCTCCATTTCTGGACTGTGGATGGATTGTCGGTTTAGGGAAGAAGACGAAGCGCAGAAATGGGGATGAAATGGGTTAGCGCATAAATGGGGAAGATATTAACATTAATTTAATATTTATATTAATAATAATAATATTGTTATTATTATTATTAAGACATTTCAGTTAGTATTTTTTGTATTATTATTATTATTATTATTATTATTATTATTATTATTATTATTATTATTATTATCATTATTATAAACATTATAATTATAATTATAATTATAATTATACTGATAATATATTATTATATTACATAAATACAATTATATTATATTAATAGTAAATCACATTTTTAATGATAATATTTTTTTGTATGTAGTTAGATGTACTAATTATATAAATTAGTTCAATAAATAGTTGGTAAAAGTATAAATGCTTTGATAAATAAATTAGTATAATATTTTTAATATATATTGAAAAATAAAATTGCATAATACTTGATATTAAATATATGTATATAATATTATAATATTATAAATATATGTACAAGTTTTATATCAACAACTAATCAATAATTTGTAAATTTATAATACTTCTATGAACTGATATGGTAATTGCGTATTAATTGCTTTGAATTTAGATGTCGATTCTTTTAAAAAATTATTAAACATATATAAAATTACATTTTTAACATATAAATTTCAATTTTTTTTAAAAAGATATTTTGTTCCATATAAAATTTAACAATAATATTATTAATAAGTAGTTTGTGCATCACGCATGTATCATTCTAGGGTTTAGAGACGAAGCAACATACGGGAGTGGAGATAGCTGCGCATCTTGGAGCGAAAAATGATGAAGGCAAAGCATTTTGCGCTGAGATTGGAATCCATGCCGGAAAGTTGAGCCTCGCTGTTCAGAGCTTGGGAGGTGACGAAGAAGCCGATCATGAAGAAGTGGTGGGTGTGCCAGAAGCTGTTGAAGCTGAAGAAAGCGACTCGGAGAGTGAAGAAAACCAACGAAGAAGGGAAGCTCGCACCAAGAGGGAGCACGACCCCACATCGCATGAAGAGCGTGTTGTTGCTTTGCTTCGTCAGCAGAACCGCATGTTAGAGGAGGGCTTTGCTTTCATGAGGACTCAGTTTGTTGCTGTGCATCATCGGTTGGATCAGATTGAAGCCAGCTCGAGTTGTAGAGGAGAAGACGAGGAAGAGTCCGAGGAGTCGGAGAGCGAGTCTTTCTAGTAGTCGTGGTTTCCTTGTTTGCCTTCTTCCTTGTAGTTGCTTTTCTTTGGGCGTTGACGCCGTTGTTTGGTTGCTTGTGTTGCTTTTGTGCTTGTTTTGTTTGTAGCCTTGTAGCTTAGTTAGCTTAGTAGTGGTAGTAGTGTTTCGTATTGGTTGTCTTGCTCTTAGTGTTGGGTAGAAGTAGATGTGGGTGTTGAGAATACAGTTTGTGATGCTCAATCTACTCCTTGGTTTTGTTCTTGACAATTCTTGAATTGGTATGCCTTTCTTTTTGTTTAAAATCCTTGTGGAACCTTTTGAGTTTGACCAAAGGATCCATTCTTGAACCTCTTGTCACAATGTTGTTTCCTATCACCGTTTGTTTCTAATTCGTCGTACCCAAACTTCGGGGACGAAGCTTCTTTGAATGGGGAGAGGATGTGACACCCCAAAAATCCACATTCAATCCATGGATTAATTGAGTAATTAATCCTATTTTATTTGAGGAATTAATTCCTAAAATCCTGATTTTTAATACTCAAGGACTAGTATTTGACTAGTCAATCTTTAAGTTGTGTTGTACCTTGAGCTTTGAGGGGAGTTCCCTTGTTCCTTACACTTTCTAAAGCTTAGTAAGGCTATTTTTGACTTTTCACCAAGAGTTAGTATTGTAACCTAACCTAGAAGACTTCTTCATTTCATTCCTTACAATTCATAGAAAATTTCTCTATCTTCTCTCTAGAAAAGAGGTGTAGCTTATTCTCCAAGCTAAGTTGAGCCTTGTCAAGATTTCAAGTTTTGCTTCCAAGATTCAACCTTTCACCTATTTGGGCATCTAGGAGGGTAAGATCTAAGTTTATCTTGTCTTTTTGGTTCCATCTTAGTTGTCTTTTTCTTAAAGATAGGATCTTTATGATCTTTTGGTTTGATCTTGAAGTGGGTTTGGAAGTAAGCCTTGTAAGAAGCTTGTTGAGGGTAAAGTGAAGTCTTTTGGTCTACAAGAGGTAACCCATGCTCTACTAAAACCTATTTTGCTTACCTATATGTGATTTCTTGGATTCTACTTGTGTTTTGCTATGAAATGTGAGAGTTTATGCATTTGTCTTGTGATATTGCATATCTAGAGCTTGTGTTTAGGGTTCCTTTGTGCCATTGCTTGGCATTTTCCATGGTTCAAGTCATTTTGTTGTTTTGGGTGAGATTTAGCATGTTTTGGACTTGAATTTGTGTTTGGAGAAGAAAATCCTCGAAGGGATTTGTTGTGGAACAGGAGTGTTCCCGCGGACGGAACGGCGGGCGGGGCACCACCCGCCGGCTTCCCCGCGGGTACATAGCCTTGTGGGAAAGTGTTCCCGCGGGCGGAACCACGGGTGGGGCACTACCCGTGGGTCCACCCGCGGGTACATGGTTGTTGTTGTGAAGGGATTTGTTCCCCGTGATTCGTTTGACTCAGTATTTGGTCTTTTGACTTCCCGATGTTCTTTGGTGGAACTTTTTGAGTGTCTTCTTGATGTTTCGTATGTCTAGAACTATATCGTAGGTATCCATGCAGGACTTTGGTGTCTTGAATCGTGCTAAGTGTTCAACATTGTGTTTCATTGGACCGTGAGGTGTCTTGTGTGTTCCTCGGAACTATCTTGAGTTTCCCCGTTGATAAGCATGCTAGTTTGTTGTCTTAATACTAGCGTGTGTGTGGTTCGTACCTTCCGTTTGGTTGATGATAACTTGCGTTATTCATCGTTGTTGTTGTTGGGCTGTGACCCGTTCCTTGATCGAGTATGTTTCATACCTTCGTTGTGATCCGTTGTTTGACTCTTGTTGAGTTGTGGTGCGTGTGTGGCTTTACCTGGATTGCACGATTAGTGGTATGGGACACTAGTCACCAAGGTATTGCAGCGGTCCTCTTGGTGGCCGTGGCGTGATTATGGAGCTGCGGCCTTTGTGTAAGGTTCACGTTTTTGGGGGATAACAGGTGTTATCCAGAGATGTGTGCCATGTGTGTGATAGTGCCGCGGGTACTATGAATTGGTGGTCTTGTTGGAGGCTTGTTGGTGGAGGAATGACGATTCCCGAGGGGATAAGGTTGGACTAAGAAGTACAGGGGTCCTGGAGGTAAAGGTTGGAACTAGATATAAGGTTGGGGGTAGCCATAAGGTTGGAACCGGGCATATGGAAGGCATATCAACTCGTGGCGGGTGATGTCACGAGGGCTTGTGTAGCCGTGGTTGTGTGTTCTCTCTTGTGACGTGTGTAGTCACAAAGGCATGTGTTGCCGGTTGTCGTGTCTTTATTCTTGTGGTGTCGTTATCCGTTGTGGTCTTGGGATGTGTTCCCGTGGTGTTTGTTGATGAGTGTTGAGTCTTGAGTTGGTGTTTACTCCTGGTTTTACACTTATATATACGTATTCCGTTTCAAAATGATTTTTGTATATATCCTACCTATGTATGATACTTAACAGGTATTGGTGGGTTACCAGCATTATCGCTGACCGGGCGTCGTCCCAATGTTTATCTTTATATCTTTCAGGTGATGTCTAGACGAGCGCGATGTTTAGAAGCTGGTAGTCTAGTACCTTTACCTTTGTTTTGTGGCCTGTGTGCCGTTGTAGTGTTAGATTGTTACTTTTTGGGATAGATGTACACACTTGCAGATTGTTCGCCGTAGCGTTTACCTGGTTTGGTAGACGTGGCATAACACCCCGTTCGGATTTCTTTTATCCAGTTTTCATTTTATCTTCCGCTGTGCTAGTTTTGTGGTTGATCTGCAGGTGTTAAGGCCTTTTTATATAGGTCGTTTTTGGGGGGTGTTACAGTTGGTATCAGAGCCTAGGTTTTGAGCCTAGGAAGAGTTAAGTCTAGACTTTCTAAGTGGTTAAGTGTGTTTTGAGATCTCTAAGCGACCTTAAGAAGCTAAGTGCTAGGCTTAGGACGCTAGGTTGCGCGATGAGCTGTGTGTTGTTTTCTGTTCTTTGTTTGTTGCTTCTCTTATCGTGTTGTTGTTGTAGAAGTGAGATGCCTCCTCGTCCTCGCGCACGCACCCCGGAGACCCCGACCAACGAGCAGCTAGCTCAGAACCTTCATCAGCTGACTCAGACCATGCAGACGCTCAGTGAAGCTCTGTTGAACAACAATCACGCTGTGCCGCCTCCTCCTCCTGCTGGGCACCGTGACGTAGGACGTTTAGTGTCGGGACATCGGCCGCCAACCTTCGCTGGCGAGGAAGACCCTGTAGTCCTAGAAGAGTGGCTATGGGTGTTTGATAAGATCTTCATCGTTGTGGGCTGCCCCGAAGAAAGGAGAGTAGAACTGGCAACATTCTACTTCTGCCAAGAAGCGGACTTGTGGTGGGTCCACGAAGGCCCGGCTCTTCTTGAAGAACCAGAGTTCGGTTGGACAGCTCTCAAGGACCGGATGCGTGAAAGGTTCTATCCTGCACATGTGCGCGCGGCCATGTACGAAGAGTTCCTTCACCTGCAGCAAGGATCCAAGTCTGTGGTTGAGTACCACAAGAGGTTCTTGGAGCTGGCACGTTTTGCGAGGATGCTTGTGCCTTTAGAGCTCACCAAAGTCGAGAAATTCGTGGCCGGTCTGAACTATGAGGCGCGAAAAGCTTTGACTGTGAGTAGGCCAAGTACTCTTAAGGACGCTTACGTGTGTGCCGCTGATCTTTATAGCGTACAACAGCTTCAGAGGGGTTCGTTTGAGCAAGCTAGGAAGAGATCTGAGGGCGGAAGTTCTTCTACCTTCAAGAAGTCAAGACTGAGTTTCTCGGCCAAGTATGTGTCATCTTCTTCTCAAGGACCTACCAGGACGGAACACGGGAACCAAGCCAAGGCATCCCTTTGTAAGCGTTGTGGGA